GAGTCAGCAGTGGAAGAGTGAAAAAGGTCTGTGCTCTGGAGATCCGAAGGATCCAGTCAAAGGGCTGGAGCTCAGTGTAGTGTTCTGTGCAAGTCTTTATCAAGAGGCCAAAGGGTCTGAAGTGGAAAGCTGAAGAAGGGTCTACCTTGGAGGCTCAAGAGTCTGTGCTGAAAGCCAGGAGACAATATCCAAGGAGAAAGCAAAGATTGGAGCTCCTCTAAAGAAACAAAAGCAAGCCTTCCTTCTTCATTTCCCTTTTATATCATTTTGGTGACAATACTCCCTAGTTTGGGTCTTCCACACCCAGAACTATGCTGAGCCAATTTAGTTGGGCAATTCTTACTCAAGTTGACAAAATCAGTTAACTATCACACTGTGTTTTATTTGTTTGAATATATATATATTCATATATATGTAATATAGGTATTATATATATATATATATATATACACATATATAATGGCCCCCTCTTTTTTCCCCCTCCTTTTTTTGAGAGGTTATTGTAGGTTGGGGACTAGAGAAGTGAGGAGAGTTTGTGTCTTACATGGAGATTTTTAGTAGGATGTTGCCTCTCCGTGAATAATTTTCAGCTTTGTATGTCTAGTGCTAGTATTTACTCCTTCTGTTATTTACTTTAAGTGATTTCAACCCTGTCCCTATGTTTTTCCAAAAGAATTATTTCTGGTTATAACAGCATCCACAGATTCAGTCTTACACTTCTATATGATAGTCCTTGCAGTACACTTCCCCGCTTTGTCTTCTCTATGGACATGATGACATTTTGTTATTTGTTGTTGTTCTGCAATGAGGCAGGTGAGGTAGGGTGGCAAGAATGGGAGGTCACTGGGTGAGGAGTGTTGGACACTGAGGGGGAGGACTGAAGGGGGAATAGTGGTAGATGAGAATAAAAGGTGGATATGGGGTCTGATTTTATTGGAGTACTTTTAGTTGAGTTGAAGGTTTAGTATTCAGAGTTTTCAGAGCATATTTTGTGAGGGCAAGGGAAAGATATGGGAGAAAGAGGTTTTACTTTGTGATTGAGAAAAGCTATGTGGTTGTCAGAACTTGCTGATAGGGAGGGCAATAAGCTAGATAGGATATGGATATGGAAGAGCCTAAGGCTTAGGATGGAGAGGACCAAGGATTAATACTAGAGAGAATAGGAGTGAAGTATAGGGAATTTTTTTTCAAATGTATACTTTAATAAGTATAAAGTGTATAAACAATTAGGTAAGCTTGTGGAGAAGCTGACCAAGATACATAAATTAGAAGATACAAGAATCCATCTAAATTTTCTATGTTTCCTTTTTTTCTTTTTGCAGAAGATTTATTAAGGTTGTTTAATATACAACTTTTCATATCTCATTTTGGAAGTCCTTTATTGTAAAGATAATTCTTTTGTCTGATGACAAACAGCAGCCACAATCATTATTCTGGACCTCCATATTGGATAAACTCCATTTCCTCTTGAGATGTAAGTTTCCTTCTGTACTTCTGAGGTAGCGTTTTTAGTATTTCTGCAGTGTCTGGTGGACCCAGATGCACCAGTAACTCCGGTGATTTACTTCCCTTGGAATGCTGTGAAATTACAGAGGAGTGGGATGGGATCCCTGCTGATCTCAAAGCTTCTGATACACTGGGTTTAGGATTGTCTTTTCTGTCAGGGAACCTTATTAATGGTATATGTGGCTTGACTACTTGGACAACCCTGCTAGCAGTCACCATCTTGCTGCCCAACAGTATGGGGAATTTTAAAACTTGGGAAGACGAGTTTATGTGTTTGGAAAAATAATAAAGAAATAGGGGCCGGGGATTTAGCTCGGTGGTTCTGGGGCCTGCCTCGCAAGCTCAAGGTCCCAAGTTCAATCCCCGGTACCAAAAAAAAAAAAAAAGAATAAAGAAATATGTTAATAACATTGTCTCGGGCATTCGAGGTGAAGAAACTAGTTAGGGAGCTGAGACAAGAAGAAAACCTAGACATGTATTAAATCAGAGCCAATGAAAGAACAAGTACACAAAAATAACAACCTAATAAATACACAAAACCCCAAAAGAACATAACCCAACATTGCTAAAAAAATAAAAAAGCACACAAAAATTTAAACCTATAAGATGCCTGATGAAAACTCGTATTAGATATTCCAATGAGCTGGGCATGGTGGTGCATGCCTGTAATCTTGGCCCTTCGGAGGCTGAGGCAGGAGGATTGCTGTGAGTTCAAGGGCAGCCTCGGTTACACAGTGAATTCAAAGCCAGCCCAAACTACATAGCAAATCCTGTCTCAAAAAACCAAAACCAAACCAAACCAAAACAAAAAGCTCCCCCAAACACAAACTCATGCCAAATTTTGAAATGGAGGTAGCAATCTCTGGAGGCATGATCATGTTAAAAGTACCTCCACTCTAAATCAAGTTAGCTTTGGAATTTTGTCATTTCCAATTTCCAAAATTTCAGTACTGTATGATTGTTACCATATGACTTCATGAGCTCTTGTGGTCGCTATCAGAAGAATCAGACAGCAACACAGGAAGAAGGCCTTCTTATTCTTACGCTTGAGTACAAGGGGAAGGAGCCATGGGGGACAGGAACTTCAGGCTGACCCAAACAAAGATGAAGGTGAACAGCTTTTATGACATTTACAGGGTAGTTGGCTGGGCTCTTGATACCATCCACATGCACAGAAGTTTCAGTTGTGTCTGCTCACCTTTGTCATGTCTTTATCATGCCTCTTCATGAAACATGTCTACTACCATTTTAAGTATCCACCTTGGAATGTGATTTTTTTTACTAATGCCAATTAAGTGAAGGTAACTATAGGTCATGCTAATGACTATTCTACACATTCATTTGCCCCTTGCCACCTGGACTTTGCTCTTATCATCTGGGAAAGTTCTTGAGTGTTGGAACAGGGCAGATCACTCCCCTGCCTCCTCAACAGGCTTGATTGTAAGGATTTTTTCCCCTCTTTGGCTTCTTGATGTCTCCACTGATCATGTCTTTGATGGCCCACCTGACCTTCCATCCTAGTTTCCTGGTATGTTATCTTAATCTCACAGTCTTGAAGACTGGTCCATTTTTAAACTCCCAACTCTTAGGTAAGTTTGTTAACAGGGTCAGACTGAGGGCTAGCTCAGTTATCGCATGATGATTTGCATAATTCCTAAATTCCTTTTTGTTAGGAATAGAACCTAAATTTCCCTAATTCAGTCCCTTTTAAAAAAAATTACAAATTGAGTTCCAATATATTATACACTTTTAAAAACTCCCTTTTACTGAAATATAATTTAGGATGCAAATTCTTTAGATTTTCTCAAGTTTGCATGACTTTTTCCCCTCCACATTGAATGTCAAATCCAATATTAAAATATATGAAAACTTTTGATTTATGAAGTGTAAACTATTTTTACTTCAAAATTATACCACAACCTATTATTATATGTGCAGTTTTCATTTTTTCTTGGGAAAAAATTTGCTCTCTAACCCAAAAGATAATTATGTATACTCATACCTAGCACAGTGACTAGCATGTTTGTATTCAAGTGTATATGTCAGATGAATGATTCCTATAAATACAACATAAACAAATAGAACTTCGTCTGTCAAGTTCCCACATGGAAATAATGATGAGAATAAATTAGAATTTTGTACTTTTTTTTTTTGTACCGGGGATTGAACTCAGGACCTTGCGCTTGCAAGACAGGTGCAGTGCCATTGAGCCAAATCCCCAGCCATGAATTAGAATTTTAGGTACAATCAGTTTTGGGGCTTAACTGTTACTTCTTAATTTCTAATCCATTAAACCACACTCTGTCCCTTGGTAAAGATGGAGACTTCTAGATCCAATCATAACCAGAGTTGACGTTTGCAGTAACTATCATTCCAACCAATCAACTACTTTTAGTAAACATGCACGGTGCTAGGCCACTTTAATAGATAATCCGGCTTTGAAGAAGTGTAGAAGCAAGAACAGCTTCCAGATCAGTAATTAAAAAAAAAAAAAAAAAAGCAAAATAAAGCCTGTCTTGGTGGTGCATACCTGTAATCCTGGCACTCGGAGAGGCTGAAGCAGGAAGATCGCAAGATTGAGCACAGCCTAGATAATTTAGCAACTTTAGCGAGAGACCCTGTCTCAAAATAAAAGTTTTTTTTTTTTAAAGGGCAGGGGATGTAACTCAATGCGAAGACCGGGGTTCAATTTCCAGTACCTTAGAAAAAGGAAAATTATACATAATAAAAGTCAGATGTGACTTTAGAGTTCAAAGGAGGACGACAGAGGGAAGGTGGAAGGTGTTCCAGAAAATGTCCAGCACCAAGTAGAAACTCGGCAGGAGAGAGCAGCGATGCTCATTCCAGATCATGACCCTAGTCTGGGAGAGGGAAACTGAGCCAGCAGGGACTTGCAGAACGCGCCCCGCCCCGCCCCGCCCCGCCCTTTGCCCTAGGAGCGCGGCCAGCCCGCTCCTCCGCCCGACCTCGTGGGCGGGGCAATGACAGAGGCCCCGCCCCGCAGCTCCGCCGGACTGCCGCGCAGGCGTAGTCGTCCCGGCTTGTAGACACGGCGGCCCGGCCGGGCGGGGTGAGTCGCGAAGTCCGCGGTGGGGTCGCCGCAGCTTGGGTCCGCTCCTTGCTCCGGACCCCCTTGTGGGTGGGCGGGCTCGAGGGAGGCTCCGAACGCCCTCTCGCCTTCCTGAGCCTTGGGGGCGCCGCCTGCGGCGTAGCCCGCTGGTCCTGGGCTGCGGGAGGAGCCGGCCGGCGTCGGAGGCGCCCGGGTGCCCGCCCCGTGGGGACTGCGGCGTGCGCTCCCGGCCTCCCCGCGGTTCTCCCCAAGGTCCTACCCGCAGCCCTCTCCGGCCGGACTCGGCGGGCGCTGGGGCCCGGGAGGCGGCCTGAACCGGGTTCATGGCTGCAGCGTGCGTTGGCCTCTGCGGCTGGACCGCCGGGCTCCACGGCCCCACACCCAAACCGCCTCAGGACCCTGGCCCCGCTTAGCCTCTGTCCCAGTTTCAAGTGGAAAGCGGGGAAAATAACAGCAGTCTCTCCCAGAAAGTAGCTGTGAGGATCTAGTGGGTTAATATCTAGGAAGTGTGTAGAATTGGAGCGCGATACTGAGCGCGATACACAGCAAAACCGTTTTGAGTCTGGTTGCCTGTAAAAGATTTGAGTCCCGTTCCTGTTCCCTCAACCTGGAAAACGGTAAGCACAAGAGTAGGAGGAAAATATTTTTCGGGTTTTTATTTGTATAGTCTATTTAAAAGCAAACTTTTCAACCAAGTTAGTTGCCCATCTTAATATAGAAGGGAAAAAAGGTGTTAGGTGCTGCTGTTTGAAAACTGTAGTTTTATGTATGAAAAACTATGAGAAAAATGGCCAAAACAAATATTTGTACTGAAAGGAGTTAAAGCAGGCCTGAGATGCTACCATATTTTGAAAGGCCTGCTTGCAAGGTTGGCCCTGGTTTAGCGGTTGGGAACTTGGGTTTGGGGAGTGTTCTGACCTGAGGACTATTAGTTTATGCTGAATACTATGTTCATGCTGAAATTACCAGCTTCATAAAAATCCTGAGCTGCAGGTTTCTCATAGGCTTTCGAGGGCAGAAGCATTGACTGACTAGATGTTGCTGCATATTTCTTGTTGGGAAAGTATGCTGAGTTTGACTCCTCCTTCCTGGGGAGGAGGAAGCATGAGGAAGCATAAGGAAGCCCCTACGGTACATATTTCTCTGGACTCCACCTCTTTTTCCATTGTGATTGATTTTATATTCGTACAGTATTGCTTTAATAATTGTCAACCATGAGTACAATTGTACCGAGTCCTGTGAATCCTGTCCACTCTCCAAACGTGGGAAGAGGAGGTCTTGAAGATTCCCAGACACAATTTTGATGAAAGAAAGTATGTGAAGCTCTAATAATTGGAATTTGAATTGTCCTTTGTGTGTATGTGTATGTGTGCACGCCTTAAATGGAAATTGGAAAAGAAACTGAAGAATTGGTATACTGTAGGTTACTGGACCAAATAATTCTGTAGGTTTAGACATAATATCAGAAATTGAGCCAGGCGTGGTGGCACATGCCTGTAATCCCAGCACTCTGGGAGGCTGAGGCAGGAGGATCACAAGTTCAAGGCCAGCCTGGGCAATTTAGCCCCCTTCTCAAAGTAAAAAATAAAAAGCTAGGGATGTAGTTCAGTGAGGAAGTCCTGGGTTTAATCCCAGTACAGGGCAGGGAGTAGGGGATTTGCACCTCCATTGCCAAGCTGAGTCTGTTTTTGTAGAAAGGCACAAATTTTTTACAGCAGCTTCTGGGTGAAACGCCTGGTTCTGTGTATTTTGCCAGAATCTGAATGTTAATGCTCATCTTTATAAAGGGTTTACCTATAACAAAAGGGAAATGTACTACTGTTTCTCGAGTACTATTTTAAGTAGGTTCTGTTGGCAATGCCTATCTCTTTAGGACATGAAATTAAAACTAAAGGAGGTAGGTTTGTAAATCTGGGGGTAAAGTAGAAGACTAGCTCATCTTTTGATAAGCGAGTGGGGAAGTAGAGGAGTTGGAGGTTTAAAGAGTGAAAAAAGTTTGAAAGGACTGTGTGAAGATAATGATAGACCCACCCTCCTTTCTGATGGGACTTTCTCCAAACATGGAAAAAAATAATCTGGCTCCCCTAGGATTGGGTGCTGCAGAGGGGTGCTGTAGTGATGAGGCTGGGCACAGCTATGCTGGTTTCCCTCTTTTTTTTTTTTTTTTTTGTGCTGGGGATCAAACTCGCGACCTTGCGCTTGTGAGGCAGGTGGCGGAACCACCCCTCTTTCTTGGTACATGGTAAAATTACACTCCTCACCTCCCTTCTATGTCTACTTGAAGTTAAATGTGGCCGGGTGACTTTGGCCAGTAAAATATTCACAGAGGTGACGTGTGTCACTGCTAAGTGAAGCCTGAAAAACACCTCTTCATTCACAGCTCCCCCCCCCCCCCAGCCCTCCCTGTGCTGCTGCAGGATCATGGAATCACTTGCCAAGATGAAGCTTCTTGTCAGAGGAATGGGGAGTTGTGATCAGAGAAGGGGACACTGTACATGAATTAGGGGTTTTGGAGAATAGAGCAGAGGGAACAAGTAGACAAGGAAGTTAGACTGGTGATGTTTCTCAGTATTGAGGGCTAGGAAATCCAAGACCAAGGTGTTGGCAGACTGATGTCTACAGAGGGCTTCTAGACCCTGTAAACAAGAACTGTTTGTCTTGACGTCTTTTGCTTGTATCCACAGGTAGATGCAAAGCTAGTTCTCTGGCCTCTTCTTGGAAGGCTCTCCTCCATGACCGAATTACCTCCCAAAGTTTTTGTCTCTTAAGTACTAGCTCAATGGGGACTAGATTTCAACAGATGAATTTAGGGTCCAGGGACACGAACATTTAGGCCATGATAGAGTAGTTGGTAAAAGTCAAATGAACTGTACCATGTCTGTCTGTCTATCTATTTTGTGTGTGTGTTCTTGGGGATCGAATTCCGCATTTCGTGCATGTTAGGTAAATGCTGTATCATTGAGCTACATCCTAACTTTGTGTTTTGATTTTAACAAGGACTTCTGTTTTTTCAGCTGGTATTCCTTTCCTCTTTTTTTTTTTTTTTTTGGTCCTGGGGATCGAACCTTGAGCTTGTGAGCCAGGCTGTGGAACCACTGAGCTAAATCCCTGGCCCTTCCTTCCTCTGTTGATTTACTAGACCAATTAAAATTGAAGTCATTTCAGTTTCGATATGCCTTAAATAAAATATATATATTTTATCTTTGAAGAGTAAATTGTATTCATTTTTTTCCCTTCAACCTTTTCAGTAAATAACAGATGCGGGTAAAAGAGCCATCCAAAGCTTTACCTGAGAAAGGAAAAAGAAATAGAAGGCCTTCAGTACCTCATGATGAAGATTCTTCAGATGACATCGCTGGTAAATTGTGATAACTGACATCCCAAATGGTGTTGGAGCAAAATAATAATACATATTTTAAATTAATCAGTCCATTTCTTTTTATTTTCACTGTTTTCTGTTGCATAAACTAGAATTTATTAATAATTTTAATTTTTAATTTTAAAAATTGAATAGTAGAATTTTCTTTTCTGGTACCAGGGATTGAATCTAGGTTCTTCACACTGACCTACATCTTCAGCACATTTAAAAATTTTTAAATTTTGAAACAGGGTCTCCTTAAGGTGCTAAATTGCCCATGTGAGCTTGAACTCTCCCATGCTGCCTTAGCCTCCCAGAGTACTGGGATTATAGACCCACCGTACTCAGTTTAGAAAATGTTTGCATTGTACCCTGGCCAGATCCCATTCCAGAGATTATATAGATACGGCCAGGCATGGTGGTACATGCCTATAATCTCAGCACTAGGGGAAGCTGAGGTAGAAAGATTGCTGCAAGTTTGAGGTCAGCCTGAGTTATATAATGAATTCAAGGCCAGCTTGAACTACACAGCAAGACCTTGTCTAAAAAAAAAGAAAGAAAGAAACCCAGATATTATATAGATAGTATATAGAATGATTTTAAAATACAAAACTGTAATAGCAATGACATTTGGTAAACCATTTCTAGATCCTATACTAGTGACCATTTATCAGTCCTCTCCTCATCCTATACTAGTGATCATTTGTTAGTCCTCTCCTGAATAGCCCTTTCTTTAGTAGCATGGATCCTTGCTTTTCAAACATACAACTTTAGAATTACTCCTTTTTTATGTTTTTACTGCTTGCTTTTGTTAAATTAGAAGCTTAAATGTTTTATTCAGATTTACATGTCATTTTTGTTCAAATTATATTTTGATATAAGTAACTTGTGAGAATCATATTTTTAGTTTTCAAGATGTCATAGACTCCTGCGTAGTTCTATTGCCTAACCTCTCTCTAACTAGTAGACAGGAATGCTTTGAGCTGGACAGAATGTTGCATGCCTGTAATCCCAGCTACTCAAGAGGCTGAGTCAGGAGGATCACAAATTTGAGGCTAGTCTGGGCAATGTAGGCAACTTAGTGAGACCCTATTTAAAAAAAAAAACTGCTGGGATAGGGCCGGGGATTTAGCTCAGTGGTTTCTCCACCTGCTGCGCAAGTGCAAGGACCCGAGTTCGATCCCTGGTAACAAAACAAAACAAAAAAAAGTGCTGGGATATAGCTTAGATTTCCCTAGTAGTACAAAAAGAAGAGGAAAAAATGCTTTGCATTTAGAAAGAGAAATAGAGAAAGTTGAAATGTATGTAGTCCAGGCTGGTTATGAATTCACTGGGTACTGCAGGCTGGCCTTGAACTTGCACAATGCTCCTGTCTCAGTTTCACAAGTGCTGGAATTACAGGCATGGGCCACAGCACATCTTAGAAAGCTGTTACAAAAGATTACTAGGGCTGGGGATTTAGCCCAGTGGTTCCGCCACCTGCCTCACAAACGCAAGGTCCCAAGTTTGATTCCCCGTACCAAAAAAAAGATTACTAGACACCAGACAGAATAATTCATTTGAGAGTATTCATTAAGGAAAATTCTGAGAAGTCTGGTTCCATTGTTTGTTTCTCCTTTTCTTTTCTCCTAACAGTGATAAAAATATATACAGATTTTTATATGTATACCTTTCTATTGTTTGGTGCTGGGAATTGAGCTAGGGCATTGCATACCCCAAGATGTGTATCTTAATGGGCAGAAAATAACATTCACAATGCTTGACACATTGTAGCTGTTCAGTAAGTGTTTAATCTCCTCAGTTTTATTCATTTATTTGTTTGTTTGTTTTGTTTTTTGGTACGGGGATTGAACTTGGGACCTTGCACTTGTGAGGCAGGCGGAGGAACCACTGAGCTAAATCCCTGGCCCAGTTTTATTTATTTATTAAACTATTTCATTTTGAACTGATTTTAGATTCACAGAAAGATATAAAGAAATATATATGAAGAGGCTCCATTTATCTATCACCTTGCCTTCCCTGATGTTAACATCTTATATTACCATAGTACAATATCAAAACCAGTGGTACAGTCCTTAGCATATTCTACAATTGTATTTTTATCACCCTTGGCATTATAGTATATACTTGTGTATTATTATACCCCCATATAATTTTTTTCCATATAATTTTATTACATGTTTAACTTTGTATACTTCAAGGAACTTGACTGTACCATCACCACTCAACATGTTACCCATTTATATCCACATCCATCCCCCACACATATCCCCTAGCAACCACTGATCTGGTTTTCAATTCAGTAATTATGTCATTTCATGAATTTTTATATATAAATGTATTCATGTAACGTATATCCTTTTGAGTTATTTTGTTTTTGAATATATATGTCTTTTAGTTCAGGGCATTTTAACACTATGAACTTTTGCTTACTAATAGTTTAGCAATGAAAGTGTTCATATTTTTTTCTTATTCAATAGGTTTAACTTGCCAACATGTAAGTCATGCTGTCAGTGTGAATCATGTGAAGAAAGCAATAACTGAGAATCTATGGTCAGTTTGTTCAGAATGTTTAAAAGAAAGAAGATTCTATGATGGACAATCAGTACTTCCTTCAGATATTTGGTTGTGCCTTAAGTGTGGTTTTCAGGTAAGAAAATTGTTACCTATGTGTCACTGTGTTTTATAGTCTCCTTAAATACTGTGAGTTGGACTTTTTGTCATGCATAGGACTTAAGATAAATTTACTCCATATTTAGAGTGAGACTCTCCAAGGACAAACTTATGTTTAAGATAAAGAACAGTGTATGTTATTTTCAGGAGTTAATCGTGTGTAGTTCATAAATCTTTTGAAAGGGACTCCCACCCACTTGCAGTAGCTCTCCTGTCTAGACCTGCCTTTTTCTTTTGTATTTACTCAAGAAGTGGATGTGACTTTTTAGATTCATTTTTTCCCTCTCAGAAAGGATTAGTCTGCTTTGTTTTTGCAAAATAATTTGTCTTAGAGTTTAGAAATGTTATCTATAATAAAAGAATTTTCTAGTCAAATTAAAAGTGTATACTTTTTAAAAAGAAAAGAGGAATGTTTATCTATAGGTAGGTAGGCCCTATAGAAGTAGGGCCACTTCTGGTTCACTTAATTCAAGAGGAAGAACATTAAAAACTGAGGTTTCTGCCAGGGATGGTAGTGCGCACTTGTAATCTCAGCCCTCAGGAGGCTGAGGCAGGAGTATCATGGTGAGTTCAAGGCAACCCTGCGATACATAGTGAGTTCAAGGCCAGTCTGAACTATATGGCGACCCCGTCTCAAGAAGAAAAAAAAGGAAAAGAAAGAAAGAAAAATGAGATTTTTGCTATTTTTCTTCAGTGTAGTCCCCAACTTCATAGTTCACGATGACTGAAGAGGCTTCAGACGTTATGTGTCACACGGCAATCCCCCAAGCCCATAAAGAGAGGAAAGAGTACATTCCTTTTCCTTTAAAAAGTATGTAAAACTCCCCCAGAAATATCCATCAGACTTGTCTTTCTCTCATGTTATATTAACCAGCGTTTCTTTAGTTTCACTAGTGAGGAAAATTGTTATGGTTAATCTGTGCTTCGTTCATTCTCCATGAGTTGACTTGGAGCTGTGTACAGGCCTGGGAAATGTGTATTTGGGAAAGAGGCTGTACTGGCCTATCTGGATGCTCAGTGTCCCACCGTGTTCAGGACAGCATGTAGACATCTGTAAGAAATAGGGATGTTAGCTTTGCTTTTGATTGTTTTAGGTAAATACTATGTAACAAAAAGTAAGTTAGCCTCTTTGCAGAAATTAATAGAAATCTATATTGCTTTCTGAAATGTTTCCCTCTTGCTTGAAATTAAAACTTTTTCAGTATATTTCAGTATAGTTTTAAGTTTTGATTGATTTGAAACAAATTTACCCTGTTCATTTCCAGGGATGTGGTAAAAACTCAGAAAACCATCATTCACTGAAGCACTTCAAGAGTTCCAGAACAGAGTCTCATTGTATTGTAATTAATCTGAGTACATGGATTATATGGTAAGTTAAATTTTGTTAGTGCTTTTGTTCATCAAAAACAAAACACCTTTTTTTTTTTTAACTTTATCAGATAAAATAAAGATGCTATACGTTTATGCTTTTTTTTTTAGCCTGAATACAATCTATAGGATAATTTAAGAAAATTAATGTTACCCATGAATATAAAGTTTTAAGTCAGGAAAAAAAAATCTAGTTTCCCTCTACTTTTCTCTAATATTTTCTTTGTACCATAAGTAAAAATTCCATCTAGTTTTTCATAATGAACTTTCTAGTGTAGAATTCCAAAATTCTATCAAAGGAAGATACTTTAAACAATCATGTGGTTTGGTGATTCTCTAGAAGGAACAGAAGGTGTCTGGCTCAGTAGTTGGTAAAAACTTACCAGGCATGATGGTGTACTCCTGTAATTCCAGCACTCCGGAGACTGAGGCAGGAGGATTGCTGCAAGTTTGAGGCCAGTCTGGGTTACATAGTGAGACCCTGTTTCAAAAAACAAACAAACACAGGGGCCGGGGATTTAGCTCAGTGGTTCCAGCACCTGCCTCGAAAGCTCAAGGTCCCAAGTTCATTCCCCGGTACCAAAAAAAAAAAAAAAAAAAAAAAAGAATGTGTGCATAAAACAAAATGAGAAAAAAACAAACAACTTTTTCAGGTGATTTTAGCACTTCACCTGGTTGAAAACCTAGTTCCATCACTTTAGGTGTAAAGAAACTAAATATTTACTTTTTTTGGATGGTAAATAAAAAGTAAAAAATCCATGCTCTAAAAACAAGATTAGTGTATGTCTGTGTTCTTTGTGGTGATGGGATTCAACCCACAGCCACTCTGTCAATGAACTACATCCCCAGCCCTTTTTATTTTTTACTTTGAGACAGGGTCTTGCAGAGGTACCCAGGTCGGCTTCAGACTTTCATTCTCTTGCCTCAGCCCTGCCCCTTCCCCCAGTAGCTGAGATTACAGGTGTACATCATCAAGCCCAGCCCAAACAAGTTTTTTGATTCCCTAGATTCTTACCAGCGTACTACACTGTTTCCATAGCACATGTAGACATTATCTTGAAATGTTTTCTCTGTATTTTACAACAGTAATTTTCTAATTGAAATCTATGGATTCCTAAAGTTCCTTGAATGCATTTTGAGGAGTCCTCAAGCTTTCTTTAAGACAAACATTGCACTTTGTGTTTTATTTCAAATTTCCAAAACTAATGCAAGGGTATTTTGGCTCATTGGAGCTAATATCTTTCTAATTTGATATGGTCATAGGGGCCTGGTGTTTGCTGCACTTACGTTTTTGTTGTTGTTACTGGGGTGTGTAAGGAGGATACAAAATTTAATGTGTAAGTAATGTGTTGGAGACAGGGAAAAAGATGATGGCAGGGTGACGTCATAGTGTGGTAGTGCAATAAATTTTTTCCTGTAGTGGTCTTAGACTATGGGTACATCAGAATTACCAGAAAGACTTGTTAACACAGATTGCTGGATCCCAGGTCTAAAGATTCCAGTTTTGTGGTTCTGGGTGTGGCCTGAGAGTTTGCACATCCAACAAGTTCCTAAGTGTTACCAGTGCTGCTGGTCTGTGGGTCACGGTTTGAGAACCACCAAAATAGAAAAAGTTGGCAGAATTAAGTGGCCCTTGGAAGAATAGGGTCATCTCAAGTGAATCTGTGCCAGAATTTCTGTTGTAAGTCTTATGTGAATGGTGATTTAATTTTCAGCAAATAAGTTTTTTTTTTTTTTTTTTTTTGTCCCGGGGATTGAACTCCGGACCTTGTGCTTGCGAGGCAGGCGCCGGAACCACTCAGCTAAATCCCCGGGCCAGCAAATAAGTCTTAACCAGCATAATAAACTATAAACAAATAATAAATATAAGTTAATAATAAAATAAAGAAACTGTATCTTTCCCATTTCTCTTCTGTCACTTAGTAATTAAGATGAAACCCTCACAGTTATTTTTATCCCTTTTAAAAAATCTTATGTTATTTTTTAATCCTTTAACAAAAATAGACAAAATGGTATAATAAATTCCTCTATACCCTACATTGCCTGCCTTTGGACAGTTATCAACTCACAGCAAATCTTATTTTATCTAGGTCAGTGTCTTAGTACTATAGATGTTTATACTGGTAATTCTTTGTTATGATCAATTCTTTGTTGTGCTGTTGTCTAGGTTATAGGATGTTTAGCAGCATCTCTAGCCTCTACTCACTGGATGCCAGTAGCAGCTAGGAGATAACCAAAAATGTCTCTAAACATTGGGAAAAGTCCCCATGGCTACAAAATCATCTGTATTGAAAATTACTAACATACCTTTACCTGCTTCTCCTTTTCCATTGCAATTATTATTATTCTTCTTCTTATTATTATTGGTACCGGGGATCAAACTCAGGACCTTGTGCTTGTGAGGCAGGTTGCGACACCACTGAGCTAAATCCCTGGCTCCACTGCAATTATTTTGACACTCGCCTCTTCCTCATCTTTTACATCTAACTCTTTATTGTTTCTCTCTGCAGATATATGAAATATGTCCACTTCTCTCCAGATTCTTGCTACTATACTGATCTGTTTTTGTTCCTTATGCCCGCCAGTCTAATTTATCACATTATTCAGAATGATGTTTTTAATGTATAAATTGGGTCATGTCATTGCCTTGCTTAAAATTTCCATGGCATTTTGTTATGCATAAGGTGAACGGCAGAACGTTCATTTGAACTATGAAGCTCTGTACGTCTCTGTCTCAAAAAACAACAAGAGGGCCAGGGATTTAGCTCAGTGGTTCCGCTGCCTGCTTTGCAAGTGCAAGGTCCAGAGTTTGATTCCCGGTACCAAAAACAACGACAAAATAAAGACAAAAGTGGTCAAATACCAACTTTGTTTCTTTTTTTTTTTGGTACCAGGGATCAGACTCGGGTCCTTGCGCTTGTGCAGCAGGCAGCGAAACCACTGAACTAAATCCCCGGCCCCCAACTTTGTTTCTTAATGTATAAAATTATTGAAAGTACTTTCATAATATTTGATTTAAATTTATGTTTTTCAGGTGTTATGAATGCGATGAAAAATTATCAACACATTGTAATAAGAAGGTGTTGGCCCAGATAGTTGATTTTCTTCAGAAACATGTTTCTAAAACACAAACAAGTAAGTTAAACAATTGCTAAAGGAATATATATATATATTTTTTGTGTGTGTGTGTGTGTGTGTGTGTGTGTGTGTTTGTGTTACTGGGGATCAAACTCAACCTTGCGCTTGCGAGGCAGGCACCACGCCACTGAGCTAAATCCCGGTCCCTAAAGGAATTTATATTAATATATATTTTATAATTCACATAAAGGATTCATAAATTCATAAAGAGTACTTTAGATTTCACTGTGACATCTTAGTCTGTAATTTGAGTAAAGATACTGTGATGGTTAAATCTTTTTTGTTTGGTTGGGTTTTTTTAGAGGGTAGTGTGAGACAGAGACTTGCTATGTCGCCCAGGCAGGCCTCGAAGTAGTGATGATCCTCCTGGTTCAGCCTCCTGAGTGTTGGAATCACAGGTGTGTGCCACCACGCTTGGCTTGTTTGTTTCTCGAGACAGTCTCACCTGTAGTTTAGTCTGGCTTTGAACTGACTATGTAGCTCATGTTGGCCTTGAACTTGCGGTGATCTTCCTGCCTCAGCTCTCCCAAGTGCTGGGATTACAGGCATGCACCACTGTTGCCAGCAGTGATGGTTAATCTTGTCAACTTGATTGGCTTGAGAGATCTCTAAGAGGTTAGTAAAGCACACTTCTGCATGTGTCTGAGTGGAGTGGGTTGTGGGGCATGACTTTGGTGTCTTAGCTACTTTTCTCGCTGCTGAGACAAAATACCTGACACCCAAAGTAAAAGGAGGAAAGGTTTATTGTAGCTCACAGTTTGAAGAGGTTTCAGACCATAGTTGGTGGGCTCCAGGGTTGGATAGCATGGCAGAGGGGCATCATGAGGGAGAAATAGTCCATTGGATGGCAGACAGCAGCAAGCAGAAGCAGCGGCTAAGCCTCCTCTTTATGTGGCATCCAGGCTACACCACACCCAGGCTGAGCCTTCTTATTATCCATATCCAGAACTATGCTAAACCCATCAGTGGACTGATTTAGTAATCATACCCCTCTAATCCCAGCATCACACCCTTAATCCCAGCCATCTCATACCCTAGATCCAGTCACCTCCAAAAAGGCTTTGTGGGGACATGTGGATACAAGCCATCACACTTGGGGACCACATCAGTCCCTGGCACCTTCCTCTCTTGATTTTCCACTTGCTGCTTCTGACTGCTCTGCTTCCTCTGCCTTGATGTTTCTTCTTGAAGCTAGCTAACCACAGACGGAAACCTCTGAAACTATAAGCCAAAATAAACTTCTCTTTGTTTAAGTTGTGTCAGATATTTTGTCCCAGCAATGGAAAGGTGATTAATGCAGCTCTTATACATTCTTAGGTGGCAATCTCATAATGTTGTCTTGTGATGTATTTACATAACCAGTCTGAAAGCTGAAGTATGAGTCACTGGATGATGGGCTTTTAAGTCACACAGTCTTGAGATTGCATTTGGCTCCCCTACTTACTGGCCATGAGAATTCTGTCTTGTGAGATTGTTGTGAGACTTAGAGATAATATTTTGTAAAGATGTAGAAATAATGTGTGTAAAAACACATGCATGATGCCTGACACCTGTTTATGAAATGGTCTTTGTTATTTGTGCTTTTTTTTGTTGTTGTTGTTACCAGGGATCGAACTCAGGATTTTGCACTTTCGAGGCAGACACAGTGCCACTGAGCTAAATCCTGGCCCTGGTTTCTGTTATTTACTACCTAACTGCAGTGCAGCTCTGATACCAACTACCCAGAACTAGGCCAGCCTTCATGGTTAAGGACCCAAGTTGTGCACAAGACTGCTCTCACTGAAGACAGCAGCCATAATCTCAAGTTTCCAGCCCACTGTACTTCTGGCTAACCAGCTACAAATATGGGGGTTCCCATGACTTCTTCAGATTTGTTTTTTTTTTTTTCACACCTGTGTGTTTTTTTATTAGTACATGTCTGCAATACACAATTTTACATTCCTTGTGTGGAGTTGGTACATGTACATAACACATCCCAATTTCATTTTTCATTCCCTTTCCCTCCTCTCCCTACTCCCTCTTCATCTTTTCTCATTTGAGAAAGAGCTATCTCCCTACTTCCTAGTATTTATCTTTTATTTTGCTCTTTATTTATAATTTGAGTTTCTCATATAAGAGAAACCATGCAATATTTAAGCTTGTGTGTCTGATTTATTTCACTTAACATTATGGTCTCAAGTGCATCCATTTTCCTACAAATGACTCAGGTTTCTTTTTCTTTATGGCAGAATAGGTTGTTGTTCTTTAGTCCTCATCGGCAACACAAATTTGGTCATTAGATGGACTAGAAACAGCTTCTAGACCTTCACTTAATTCATCAGATTTTGTTACACTTAACCTCTTTCTCTCTTCTGACTTTTCAGCATCCTTACAGATACTGAAAATTTCTTCCATTTTTCCTCCTTTGCAAGTAGTGAATTTTTCAAGGGATTCTACTATTTCACTTCTCAACTCATCTTCTGATTCTTCAAAATTTGTATCATCACCATCAGATGCTGGTTCCAGCAGTTCCTCATCTACTTCAATGCAAGAAGCCATTTCTACCTTCACCACATCTTCTCTAGGAAGCCATTGCTTTAATGTTCTTACTGCTTCTGGGCCACAGAGTTTTTCAAACGCTTTGTCTAGGTCATCTTCATGTTCCTTTAGACAGTCATATCCCTTAAACTTTATGCTGTCCTCAAAGGTCAGAGTTTCATTTAGTATGTCCATTGTCTCTTCCTCTTGGACAGTGTTTCCATCAGACATACATTCATCTAAATTAATTTCAAACTTTACCCCTCTCTGCACTGTCGTGTCCCCTGAAGGAGCATCTTGGTCAACAGGCACGGCATTCTTCTTCACCAGATAGGTCCTGATTTTGGAGCTCTCCTTTAACACAAATTATGCGCAAACGACAAGATTAGTTCTTCCTAGCTTGTGAAGGCTACTTTCTGTGGTACCTCTTTGGATTTTCAAGAATCACCTCAACTGCATTCAGATTTTGCCTTGTGCTATCTTGCATCACTTAACAACAGGGATATGTTCTGAAAAAGATCAACTTCTTCAGATTTGATAATTCACTAAAATACTTTGGAGAACTCAGGAAAGTGCTGTACTTACAACCGTGTTTTGTTATAGCAAAAAGGAATACAAATCAGGATCAGCCAAAAGAAGAGACACATGTTAAGGTCTGAGAGAGTCCCAAATATGAAGCTTCTGTGTCCACTCCTCACTCAGGGAGTGAGGAGCTAACACCCCCATCCCCAACACACACACTGTAACAATGTGCAGGAAGTATCATTAACCAGGGAAGCTCTGGCATTGAGAATTTTTACTGGGTAAGCATGATTGCTTGAATCACTGGCCACTTTAATTCAGACTCTAGTATCCCAACTCCAATCCCTTGGTTTGTCTTTCTGGTGTGGCTCCCATCCAGATTCATCTTTACCATAAATTGTCTAGGGACCCTTGATGAGTCATGTTGTCAACACAAAGTATCCACTGTGACTCAAAGGGCTGACCATAAATAATAAATATTCTTGTCACTCTGGCAACTCTAAGAATTTAAGAGAGTACTTGCCAGGAAACTTGAACATAGGTCAGGCAAATCATTTATTATATGACAGTAATTATTATATATTGTGCACTTTGTTAACTATATGTTGCATATGTGTTAATAGAAAGTGAGAGCATTTAGAGAGCCAGTTTCTTTATCCAAAAAATAAATGCCTTCCACATGCCAGGTATTACACTTATTCAGTATTGAGTAGTGAAAAAAAATTTTATCTTGCTGTACTGGGATTTAGACTATAGTGAGGGAGCCAAAAAATAAGCAAATATATAAATTCTGGTAAGTGCTACACTGGAAAGATTGCAGTGATAGGTAATAATTTATTAGTCACAGTGGTCGAGAGAAGCCAATATGACTGAATTAATTTGTTGGGAGAGAGTAGAATGAGATGAAGTTACAAGGTGGGTGGACAAATCATGAAGGAGTCTGTAAGGAATTACATGGCAAAAAATATTTAATTATAAAGTATACTGGAAGTTAGTAAAATGTTTTAAGTAAAATGTTCATAGTTGTTTCAGTTCATGTTTTTTTTAAAATAAAGATATCTGATTAGCACATGGAGAATAGATGATAGGGGTTCAGAGTAAAGATGGAGAGATGGTAACGAAGGTTAAAGGAGGTTATGGTGGCAGGGCAGGTGAGAGACTAGTAAAAGCTCTGGTGGAAAGTGAATGAGGAGAGTGGGTAGAATTAAGTATAATCCTCGGGATTTTGATGAGCAACTAGGTGAGGGGGAGTGAATGGATAAGTTTGAGATGCCTTTGAAGCAGAATTGAACTTAGATGGTGACATCAGAAACTGGAAAGTCATGTAAAAATATAATTGGTCAAAAAAGGAAAAATATAGTTACCAGTTGTATTTCCTATAGATCAATGTATAGTTGTCCTTGTTAGCTGTCTTGCAAATGAGATAATAATAGTGAAAAAATTGGATGAGCTAGAGGAGGTAAACCCAGGCTCCTGGACAGCAAAAGAGATGATTAATTTTATCACCCGTTCACTTACTTATAAAACATACATTTGTTGAATTGTTTCGGGCATGCCAGTCATAGCTCCAAATCTGCTCTAATAGAGAACCCTGTAAGTAGTGGTTCTTTATTATGTCTGTGGAAAAACATTTGATACCTGAGGTTAGTTTTAATGCTGTCTCCTGAAAATGGCACTTTTCCTTCTGCCTTCTTTTGTAGGGGGGTGTAATAAGAAAATACACAGGTATATATTATAATTCCAAGAGTGATGAAAATACAACTGTAGAATTTATTTTCTTTGAATTTGGTACTTAGAGATTTATTGAGGTTAAGAACAAAGCCAGTCTGATCTCCACTCAGTTTTACAGATTTCTTGAGTATTTATTACAGGAAAGATGCTAAGGGAGGGTGTGTGGAATGGAATGTTAAAAACATTCAGATTAAACACTCAAAGCTGGGTGTGGTGGTGCACACCTG